AGGCCAGTGGCCAGGCCCTGACTGATCCTTGCTATTTCTTTCAACAGTACCTGAGGCTCCTGTCATTGATACCCAGCGCACCTTTGCCTACGATCAGATCTTCCTGTGCTGGCGGCTGCCCCCCCACTCACCACCTGCCTGGCACTATACTGTTGAGTTCCGGCGCACAGATGTGCCTGCACAGCCCGGTCCAACCCGTTGGCAGCGACGGGAGGAGGTGAGGGGCACCAGTGCCCTGCTGGAGAACCCTGACACGGGCTCCGTGTATGTGCTGCGTGTTCGTGGCTGCAACAAGGCTGGCTATGGCGAGTACAGTGAGGATGTACACCTGCATACACCCCCTGCGCCTGGTGAGTGAGCTGGAGGCTGGGCACAGTGGGGCAGGTGCAGACACTCATGCGTGGGTGGGAATGGCAGGCTAGGGACTCACTCGTTCCAAGTGGGTCCTGGAAAAGTGATTTAATACAGTGTACTACATGCACTGGCTGAGGAGCTAAACTGCTTGGGTTTAAATCCCAAATCTACCTCTTATCAACTTTGTGGGTCTCTTTGTTTCTCCCACCATACCTAAACTTGAACTCAGGGCCTAGGTGCTGTCACTTTACTCTTTCACGCAATGATGATGCTCTACCAATTGATCTACAACTCCACTTTCGGCTTTTGGTAGTTAATTGGACATAAGAGTCTCATGGAGCTGGGAAGGTGGCTCAGTGGTAGTGTGCTTGCCTTGCATGCATGAGGCCCTGGGTTTGATTCCTCAGCACCACATAAGCAGAAAAAGTCAGAAGTGGCACTGTGGCTCAAGTGATAGAGCACTAGCCATGAGCCCAAGAGCTGAGGGACAGCACCTAGGCCCAGAGTCCAGGGCCCACTACTGACAAAAAAAAAAAAAGAGTCTCATGGATTTGTCTGTCCACGCTGACTAAACAAACAGGATCCTCAAATCTCAGCCTCATAAGTTAGCTAGGATTACAGGTATAAACCACTAGCTCCATCTGGGGGGTTTGACCTATTTTTTACCTCCTCTGAACTTTAGAGTCCTCTTGTATAGGAGTACAGTTGTCATAAGAATTAAACTATTAGCCAGGCACCAGTGACTCAAGCCTGTAATCCTAGCTACTCAGGAGGCTGAGATCTGAGGATCACGGTTCAAAGCCAGCCCAGGCAGGAAAGTCTCTGAGACTCTTATCTCCAATAAACCACCAGAAAAAAACCAGAACTGGCGCTGTAGCTCAAGTGGTAGAGCGCTAGCCTTGAGCTGAAGAGCTGAGGGACAGTGGTCAGGCCCAGAGTTCAAGCCCCATGACCGAAAAAAAAAAAAAAAAATAAAGGGTTAAACTATTGTGAGATAATACCTATAAAAGACTTAGCAGGAGGGCTGGGAAGGTGGCTCAGTGGTAGAGTGCTTGCCTTGCATGCATGAGGCCCTGGGTTCAATTCTTCAGCACCACATACACAGAAAAAGCTGGAAGTGGCGCTGTGTCTTAAGTGGTAGAGTGCTAGCCTTGAGCTGAAGAGCTGAGGACAGCATCCAGGCCCAGAGTTCAAACCCCATGACCAAAAAAAAAAAAAAAAAAGATTTAGCAGAAAAGTCAATGATGGTAGTACATACCTATAATCCCAGAAGGACTGAAGAGACTGAGGAGGAGGATCATGAATTTGAGGTCAGCTTGGACTACATAGCAATACCCTGTCTCAAATAATAAAATAATAATAATAATAACCAGTTTAGGGCTCATAGTGAAGGCTCAATAAAGGTTAGCAATGTGACACACTAGAGAATTCTTACACTCTTGGGCATGGGTATGATAGAGGGAAACTTACCACTCAAGGGGCACAAGAGAGTAAAGGTTGGTGTGGGGAATGGGAGTTGATAGGCACAGGAAGGTGGTGGTGGGAATGTCACCAGGTGGAGCAGGACAACAGTGGGCATTGTTCACAGGACCAACTACAGGAGGGCTGAAAGAAGCATGTTATTCAGCCAGGTCTGGGACACTGGCTTTTGTGCTATTAGTCTTCACTAAAACTCTTCCTCTGGTCCCATGCCCACATGACATGCCCCTTTCTTCTTCCATCTTGCCTCCTAATTTCACTTGTTCAGAATTTCTGTTCTCTGGAGCCCCTTGCACATTCTTGGTAACTGAACCCCCAGCCAACCTGTTCACCATTCTGAAATCTCTCAGCGTCTTGCACGAACACCTCACTATTCCCAGTGCCAGTGTTTGTTTGTCCCTTAAGTCCTTCCTTCTGTTCCAACCCCTCCTCCCCCTTCCAGTCCTGCACTTCTTCCTCGATGGCCGCTGGGGTGCAAGCCGAGAGCGGCTGGCCATCAGCAAGGACCAGCGAGCAGTGCGGAGTGTTCCAGGGCTGCCCCTGCTGCTGGCTGCTGAAAGGCTGCTGACCGGCTGTCACCTGAGTGTGGACGTGGTCTTGGGCGATGTGGCTGTGACCCAGGGCCGCAGCTACTGGGCCTGCGCTGTAGACCCTGCCTCCTACTTGGTCAAGGTGGGCGTCGGGCTGGAGAGCAAGCTTCAGGAAAGCTTCCAGGGTGCCCCTGATGTGATCAGCCCCAGGTCAGGCCCCTCTGGAAGAGATGGGGTTTGGGGATCCTGCATGGGAGTTGGGAGCAGGGTATGGCAAAAATAGCGCATGCTTGTGGGGGTGAGGCTGGGAGGGGACAAAGAAGATATGGGCTCAGCAAGAGGGTCCTTGAATATTGGTGTTCAGAGTACGTAGTTAGGGAAAAGGATGACAGAAGACAAAGTCATTACCTCTTCCTTCCATCTGTCACTCAGGACCTCTCCAAGCCCCCATGTCCTTTCTCCTAGCACTCCATTTCCAACCTCCTTTCTCCATGAAACTTTTCCTAGTCAAGATCTCCGTCACCCACATCTTTTCTCAACATCCTAACATTCTTCCTTTAAATATCTCATCTCCACAACCTTCCTTACTCACCCCCATATCCTATTTAACACCTTCCCACGTGCACACTTTTCTCCCTGAACCCTTTCTCCGCAGCACTGTATTCCCCCCACACCCCATTTCTTCTCTCTTTTTACTTTATTTTTTATTTTTGGCGGTCGTGGGGCCTGAACTCTCAGTCTGGGCGCTGTCCCTCAGCTTTTCAGCTGTAGACTAGCGCTCTACCACTTGAACCTCAGCCCCACTTCCGGCTTTTTCTGCTTATGTGGTGCTGAGGAATCGAATCGAGGGCCTCATGCATGCAAGGCAAGCACTCTACCACTGAGCCACCTTCCCAGCCCTCTCCATTTCTTCTCAACAGCAACTTCTTTCCATACCCTTCTTTCATTCCTCTAACCGCCCCCCCCACTTCACTCTTGCCTCTCCCAATGCCTTTCTCTGCTCATTTTCCCCATAATCCTCATAATCCTCAGTCCCTCCTTTTTCCAACATCTCCTGTCCCTAACATGATTTCCCCAACACCATGTTCCTCAACACTATCCTATCTCCATAAGCACTGAACAGATGTCCTCAGTGTGATGTATCAATGCCTTGTCTTGTTCCCCAACACTTCCCCTGCCAGCATGCCTTCCCTTCAGTACCCCTTTCCTCCCAAACCATGACCTAAGCCTTCTCTTCAATCCAAAGTTGATCCATGCAGCCTCCTACTCCCCAACATTCCATTATCCCAACATCTCAGCTCCCTGGTCCCTCACTCCAACATCCTCCTACCCAATGCCCACTCCTGCAGGTATGACCCGGACAGTGGGCACGACAGCGGTGCTGAGGATGCCACCGTCGAGGCGTCACCACCCTTTGCTTTCCTAACCATCGGCATGGGCAAGATCCTGCTGGGATCTGGAGCAAGCGCCAATGCAGGGCTGACTGGGAGGGATGGCCCAGCAGCCGGCTGCACTGTGCCTCTGCCACCCCGACTGGGCATCTGCTTGGACTATGAGCGGGGCCGAGTTTCCTTTCTGGATGCTGTGTCCTTCCGTGGGCTCCTTGAATGCCCCCTGGACTGCTCAGGGCCTGTGTGCCCTGCCTTCTGCTTCATCGGGGGTGGTGCAGTACAGCTACAGGAGCCTGTGGGCACCAAGCCGGAGAGGAAGGTTACCATCGGAGGCTTTGCCAAGCTGGACTGATCCTTTTAGATTCCGTTTCTAGACCTGGGGTCTCGCTGGACACTGCCCCCCCCACCCCAAGCTTCCTGGCACTGGGTTGTTCCCCCCCCCCGGCAGCTTCTCCCTCAGACTCTTCCAAATATGTGGTCCCGCCCTGTCCCCTCAGTCTGTGTCTTCCCAGGATTTTTGCTTACCAAGAGGCTCTCATCTGCTCACCTCTGAATGTCCTCCATTCTCTCCATTGCCTGTTAGCCCAGGCCCCCATGCCCACCTAGTCTCTGCCCCATGCCCTGCCCTTGGCACCACACCCAGGCCATAGAGAGCCCCTTTCCCAATCCTTGTCCTGCGCCCCTGAGGCTGTTTGGGAGGCATGGCAATTGGAACATTGGTCGTGATTACCAGCTCTGTCCTTTGCCTTGCCAAGGTCCCTTGTCCCATTGATGCTGAACTATAGCTTTGGGGCAGGCAGGCTTTGGGCCTCCCTAGTAAGGGGGAAGGACCCTATCCTGCTTTATTTATTTGGGTCCTCGTACCTCTGGCCGCATGCCCTTTATGTCCCTCTTCTCCCTTTTGCATGCTTTACCTGTCCTGCACCCATGCCAACGTGCCAAGTCTCTTTTGGAGACTCAGCTAAGGCTGTGCGTTTCCATTGGATTGGGCCAGGCAAGACCTCTGGTGCCTGCTGCTGCCTCCTTGTGGCAGCCACCACTAGGCCTGTGTGAAGCAACAGCTATACTTTTCATGGTTTATAAACAATAAACTGTGATGCCAGGCACATTTCTGCCTTTCCTGAGTGGGACCATTCTTTGTAGTTTATGCAGAACATGGGGGTAGTGGGGTTCCAGGGTACCTTGCTGTTGATCAGTGCAGGGGTGCCAGGTGGATCTGAAGGAAGGAAGGAGGGCTGCTAGGCAGTTACTCTACCAGCTTCCGCCACACCTGCACCAAGCTCAGGCCACAACCAGCAACAGCCGCCAGGGTGCGTAGCATTCCGACTGCTGGCATCAGGTCCTAGATGGGGTGTCCAGAGGGCATCAGGGCCCTGGGGGAATGTGGTTGAGGACATGGGCACAGTGCCTGTGCCCAAAGAGGTCAGGGAACCAGAACCACTTCCCCATTCCCAGGGTGCCAGGGAGCCCACCCAGAAGCAGTCTATGGATGGAGAGGAGGGCGGTAGAAAGTGGGGGTGGCAGAGAGGCAGGGCCTGGTGCCAACAACCCGGATTTGACCCAGCCCCCACTTATCCACTTATCGCAGCAGTGTTGACTCTGCTGCTATCTGTTGCCTAAGGATTTACTTCACACCCAAACAGCTAAGAATAGAACCTCCTGGGGGCACTGTGCCAGCCAGAGAGGAGGGCTAGTACTAGTCTGATTGAAACCCAGACCCATGAGAAGGGTAAAGGAGAGAGCTTCAGACACACAAGCAGAGCTTAATGTAGCCGGCCCACTGGAGCCAGCCTAGGCTTGGCCTAGGTTTCGTTTCCTTCTTCCTTCTGTGCCGCCAGGGATGGGGGAGAGGTGACTTCCGAGTTCTTAGGCAGGCCACCCCTGAGTGCTCCAATATCACCTCTTGCCCACTCTGCCTCTGAAAATGAGCCCACCCCTCCTTGACACTTTTGCTTCCTTCCTTCCTTCCAGGCCCCTCACAGGCTCATGGTGATCTGCCCCTCCTACCCACCAGTTGCAAATGAAGAATCACAAGTTAGCACAAGAGGAGAGATCACATTTTATTCAGCCATGTTTGGTTCCCATCCCCATCTCAAGGCCTTCTAGGCCAGTCCTCTTGGGAGCCACCAGGGCTCCCCACAAAGTCCCCAGTATGTCCCCCCTGGGGCAGGGCTGGGCTTCACTGGGCTACAATGGGTTAAGGATTTAAGCAAAGCCTCCTCTGGAGCAGGCTGTGAAGCAGCCCACCAGAAATCCCAGTTCACCAGCCCAGGTCAGAATAGAGAGGATTTCTGGCAGTGAAGAACCTGAGGGAGGGGACCAGCACTGATGACCCTTGAGTGGGTAAACTGCCCCCTACAAGTTGGCAGAAGTAGCTGACACTGCTGGGTTTGTATAAGAGAGGCCGCCACCATTGCCCGCAGAAACCTGAGTGGGGAGAAAAAGAGATTTGTGATGAGAGGTAGAAACTACCTGCTAGGCCTAGTCAGCTCTCAATGGGTTAATTCAAGGAGAGCACCTGCTGGGCCCCAGAGCAACCAGGTGACTGTAAACAATCACCTCCCCCTCCTCTATACTCCCTCTCCTAAGTGCCCCTCCTGCCCCCTTTTCCTTCCATTCTTGGCAAATCCAGCCCAAGGGTGTGTGTGTGTGTGTGTGTGTGTGTGTGTGTGTGTGTGTGTGTGTGTGTGTGTGTGTGTGTGTGTGTGTGTGTGTGTGTGTGTGTGTACAGCTGAGAAAGGGAGCGATTCCCCCAAGAGGAAGAAAGGGCAAGAAAAGGAAACTTGTCTCCTCCCCCACCAGTGGCTTTCCAGTTCCAGGTGGCCACAGTAATTATTTACTAGGTCTTGTAGAAAAAGGTCAAGAGAGAAAAGGGAGAGGGCCTCTCTACCTGGAGGCTCCCAAACCCATTCCAGGATCTCCTGGCTTGAGGCGACTCTTCCTCTCTGTCACAGCCCCTCAGCCCTCCCTAGTTACTTCCCACTCATAGGAGGTGTCAGCACAGGTGCTGAGCTACTGCTTGTGACTTGGCAGGAAGGGCTCCCGGAGCACAGATCCACACCCATTTTGCCTCTGGGCCATCCTAATGAGCACTGCCTCCGTGCCAGGGCCAGTTCAGCCACAATTAATGTGGACAGGCCAGGATCTTTTGGGCTGGTAATGAAGGTGGTTCCCCTCCTCAGGCTGTCTTCCAGAACTCTTCTGACCGCCACCCCATCCTCGCAGGGCCTCTCTACTCACTTCTTCCAAGTTCTTTGGACTTTTTGTTTTGTTTGTTTGTTTGGTCTGTCGTGGGGCTTGAACTCTAGGCTTGGGTGCTGTCCCTCAGCTCTTCAGCTCAAGGCAAGCACTCTACTACTTAAGCCACAGTGCACAGTGGCACTTCTGGTTTTCTAGTGGTTTATTAGAGATAAGAGTCTCCTGGACTTTCTGCCTGAGCTGTCTTTGAACCGTGTACCTCAGATCTCAGCTTCCAGAGTAGCTATGATTACAGGCGTGAGCCACCAGTGCCCTGCTCTTTGGACATTTTTTTTTTGGGGTCCGGTCATGGGGCCTAAACTCTGGGCCTGGGCGCTGTCCCTCCGCTCTTCAGCTCAAGGCTAACGCTCTACCACTTGAGCCACAGCGCCACTTCCGGCTTTTTTCTTTTTGCTTATGTGGTGCTGAGGAATCGAACCC